ATAAAGATATTGTCTATTATGCGGTGACTATATTGAAGGGTTTTAAGGTTGTTTTTAGGGAGAGGATTCTAGTGGTCATCTGTGCAGCTCATTGTGGTGATGATATCTTGAACGCAGGTAATAACAATGAAGAAAAAGTATTTGAGTCTGTATTATATTTTGACGATAAATTCAATGGTTTGTGGAAATGAAAGTAATGTAAATGGATTCCAGTGTTTTCATATATGCAACTCAGCAAGTCATGATTCTAATAATTGAAACGTGAAATATTAGAGGATTTTTTCTATTGGATTTGCTTTTATCAGTGCATGTTTCTGGTACAGAATGAATATACTCATGATGAGGAGCTGATCTGTGTCTGTATCGCATCCTAATTCTTTTTAGTTGCCTCTTGCTTCTCTTCTGCACCTTTTCTTCTATCGCTAGATTCTTTTCTCAACTTCAAAAGATGTTAGAATGTTTTTTAGAGAAATATAAATTTTCCTTGGACAGTAATTAACTCAGTGAAATTCTAAATATATCCACTGAGGATATATTTGAATATACAATTCGGGTAGTCAGAGGTTCAAATGTGGAGTTTATTACAAAAAAGTTAAGATACAAAACCATGGTGTCATTTAGATCACCGGGAAAGGACCATATCTATGGAAGTGTATAAAGAAACAGGATCAAAAATCATGACTAATACAGAATCATTGTGTCCCAAATTCAACACCTGATATCCTGGTTAAAAAAAAAAAAAAAAAAAAAAAAAAAAAGTGAAGATGTTTCACTGAGGACTCACTTGTAGAGTTTTTCCCTAATTTGGACTAAAAAATAAAAAGAAAAAAGAAATGAGTTTTTAAAAATGTGCTTTACTGGAGCTGGGGATTTAGCTCAGCGGCATAAGCGCCTGCCTTGCAAGCAGGCAGTCCTGAGTTCGATCCCTGTACTGATAAAAATGAAAAAGACAATAAATAAATAAATAAATAAATAAATAAATATAAAAAGCAAAAATGTGCTTTACCAAAGCCAATATTGGTAAATGGTATCTTAATTATATCTGTTTAATTTTGCATACTGAAGGTTCTACAGAAATCTTAGGTTTTATAACAGATAAAATGGAGAAAGTTTTCTTTCCATAAAGGCTCAACTCATTTCTTACTTTAGATAATTTATACTAAGTTGTAAAACGAGGAAAAAAAAGGAGAAACTGATTATCAAGAATCTTCTTTTCCCTGTAATTTTGCCCTTACTCAGAAAAGAGGCCTAGACGGCGAATGACTTGAACACTACATACAAGTAGAAATTTTATAGCTGTCTCTATTTTCTTAGATAGGAGAAACCAGATATGGAGAATCCTTAGTTAAATATGGGAAATCATTAACAGGTAAATCTCAAGCAAGACATGTGCTATAATTTAAGCTGAAAAATATGCTTTAGCTAAAACTCATCTATCAATTTTTCCAAGTTAATTATATATAAGGATGCAAGAGTAGACCCAGGAAGACCAGAAAGGAAATGAGCTGGGAATTTATAGAGATTATGGAAATTGTGGTCACCTTTAGATTGGCCAATTAAGCATTTGGATTCCATTTACCTAAATCTTCAAGGTCTGAAGTACATGCACTTAGCATATAAGATAATAGGTCTGGATGTGGGTGTGTAGATTCACTAGCTATTTGTACATTTAGAAATGATGTTTAACTGAACAAGAAAATCAATTGGGTTTATAGAGTCTGCAGTCATTGTTTGTTCAGATGAATCAGAGTTATAACTCCAGACCAGGAATTCATTTAGGAAAATAAAGCAAGCTCACACTTTATCCTAGACACCCAGCTGATAAATGCATGTAATCCCAGGGTGATTATGTGAAATGACTTTAAAAAGCTGGTTTTCCCAGTCAGGGAGGAAACATGTCATTGAAAAAAGGATGAGACCCTAAAGACTCATATAAAATGTAAAGATAAATGATAATAAAGCAGTTTTGCTAATTGTGACTAGAAATGATAAAGTGGAAACACTGAAATAACATGTTGGATATCTAAATAATTAATATTTAAATTTAGTTTATTAGGTATTCTTTGTGAAGTCATGTATTACAAGTGTTGGAAGAATAAACAAGTAATTTTATCTCATTGAACTTTAGGGTTTAGAACAAAATACAGATAAACTTTTGGTACACATTTAGCAGAAACTAGGTAGAGTTGAAGTGAATGAGAATACTTTCAGGGTTCAAACTTGGAAATCTTTGTTTTTACTGGATCATGAAAATAGTTTTTTTTTTTTTAAATGAGAGTATCACAAAGAAAGAGATAGGATGTTCAAAGGAAAAGAGATGACCGATTTCAGATGGTAAGAAAATCACCACATTGAAGCTATTTAGTTCTAAAACTATTGGATGACCCAAAAAGCTGCAGGTAACATGCAGGAATTTGCAAATGTACAGGAAAAAAATCACACAAAACTGGAGAACCACTGTTCATCTGGTGTTCCAGAACTTTCCCGCTCCAAACTGAATACATCCATACATCAATTTTTCTAACTGTTCATTTTTCAGGCATCTTTGTTGATTATTTTGAGAAATTATCTATTACATACCTTAAAAAGTATAGATGAAATTTGGAATTTTAAATACTGTGAGACCTTGCAAACAACAGATACCTAGGTAAGTGACGTTCTCATAAAGTTAATGACCACAAACTGAAAGGCGATCATATGAAGACTATCCAAAGACAATCTTCAAATACTTTTCTACTTTTTGAAAATTTAGTAAAAGAGATTTTCAGTAAAATGTTTGTGAAATAAAAATGGTTCTCATTTCCATGAAGGGTACCCAAAATCTTTCACTAAGGCATCCTCTGAGTATTTTCTAGAATGTTTTTAAATGTAAATATGCACACTTAGATCTTGTCCTAAAGTGAATTGTTTTATTGGCTTTTCTGTAGCTTAAATGGCAGTTAGGCTAAAAAGAAAAAAAAGATAGCACATTTAAAAGTTACCTGTTAGAATTCGGACAAAGTTTATCATTTTGTAATCTTAGCAGAGAGATTTCACATCTTTTTTTTTTAATTTCCAAAAGAAAAAGAATGCAGCACATTTATTTGGTTTTTAATCATGATTTGACATTAGAACACATGTTCCTCAATTCTGCTGGTTATATCACATATCTACTATAATTTTCACACTAGCAAAATATATTCTTGTTGTATACTTATATGAATTTTGATTATTCCTTCATCTTCAACAAACATTTTGTCAGCATTTCCCATGGGTTCACTTATTGAAGAAATCACTTGAGAAATATAAGAGTTATACTTCCTTTTTACTTTTAAACCATTACTGCACATTTTAAAACATTTTTTGTGTTCGCAATTCAAAAGCAAACAAACAGCTCATTTAAATATCATGCAAGGAGCATAATTTCATGATTTTTTTCAGCAAAATGGATTTAAAGGATTCTGTTATAAAGATGCTCTGATAGAAGAAAATTAGCAGAGTTCTCAGCAGTGAAGATCAAAAGCCTTTTATACATCCATTGTGCCCCCTAATGGTAGGAGAACAAAAGAAAAAAATCTAGACATCTCATATTTCTGTATCAATTAAACATCCTTCACAGAAAACTTTGTCCAGTTGAGTAGCATTCATTATGTTTTATATAAGTTGCTAAATGAATTCAATGTAATAAAAATATCAGGTATTACTAAATCCCTGAACATTAATTTATAAGACCTTTTTCTTGCCATTTGAAATAATTTTTCAATGTTTGAAATTAATCTCCTTCCTTATGCATAAGCTATAAATGAAGAAGTTAATATAATATATACTGTATAATATAATTAGACTCTTTAAAACTCCGTGAAGATTTTTCTTGTGATTATTAACAAGTAATCAATTTATTTAATAACTAAACAATTCTCAGATACATTTAACTTTAAATACTCATAATCCTAACAGTAGTATCTATTCAGATCATTCCATGTATCCTGAAATAGCTAACAGAAGAAAATAGCTTTGCTCTAAAAAGTATTTTGAGTAATTTTCTTCTGAGAATCCCAAAATCAACATCACTGTAACTCATGAAAATCATGAGGACTGTGTCTTAGATATATAACTTCGGTGAATAGCAGCTATATAAGATTTCCTTCTCTCAAAATGTATATTCTCAACCTTTATTGCATAAAAGGAATATCTCGGGGAAAAATTTGATGCAATAATGAAAAACAGGGAATTATGAGGAGAATAGGTTGCAGCATCAGGAATGAATTCAAAATGAATCAAGCAGAACAGAAAGAGGAAAAAAATCAGAGGAAAAAGCCATCAATACTACAAATGTACACAATTTCAACTGCTAGTACATACTTTATAGCAGCATTTTACAAACAGGATTTTTAAAAGATTCAAATAGCTACCATGTATATTGCAGTCATTTTGTGAGATACATATAATAAAACTTTTAAATGTATCAGGAAGTAATTCTCTATTTTTGGAGCTACTAGTCAATCTTCTTTGATTTTATTTTCTGAAATTATTGTGCTCAATCCTTACCTTATAACACATTCTATGCTGCTTTCTATGTTCTTTATTTTATCTTATATTATTTCAAACATATCTTAGTTCTGAGATCACACAGCATTTATTCAGAAGTTTAAGTTACCAGAAATATAATCTAAGTCTAAAACCTCTCAAGATTAAGGAGTCACTGATTTAATGCATTTTTCTGCAGATTTTCCTAAATACTAGGACACATATTTTTTCATAAAGTGAGGATGACTAATTCTTAGAGTGGGGACATTACAGAAAGTGAGGAAAGGATGGTTTTGAGTGTTCTTTTCCAGTATATGGCAGTGCTTTTGAATGACTCCTTCTGTGCGTCAGAAATCTGGAACAACAGCAGCAATTAGGGAAAATCGTCACATTCACTGAAGGTTCAGGAGTGTGTGGGGGGGAGGTGGGGGCTAAGGGACAAAGGAAATGGGGTGGAGGAAGGTGAGAGGAAAGGGAGGGTTATGCAGGGCACATCCTGAGAAGATAATCCCTATACACTCATGACATCATCCCCTCTAACATACATATATAGGGAATGGCCACAGCCTCTCTCATAGTTCCCTCACATTCAGAGCTCTAAGGAGAGCCCCCTTCTGGCTTTTGTGGACTTGGCTTGGTAGAAGGCTGAAGAATATGATGGCAGGAATGAAAATCCAGCTGTTCTGCATGATACTTATGGCATTCAGCTCCTGGGGTCTGTGCTCAGGTAAGCTCAGCTACATTTTACAACTCCCTGGAGTGATTTTTTTGCAGTGTGTTGCTGCTTAAGTTAATGAATCCAAGAGAAGTGTTTCTCCCACTTACTCAGAATTTGCCTTATTTATAGAAATAGAAACTGTGAATTCATCATTCTCTGTGTTTAGAAAAACTGGAAGGTTTATTTTCCTTTTTTAAATCTGCAAAATAATGAAAAGGATTTCAGTGAAACACTGCATGTCCTCTGCAACAGAGAAGGTAGAGAAAGGGAACAAATATAAAACTTTAAACTAGGTTGGTCATTGTGTAGTAAGGACAGAGGCAGTGCCTATCAAAATGGAAATTCATTGCTAAAATTCATTCATTGTATTTAAAATGCTTTCCTCTTCTCATTTGCTTAGGAAGTTGTGGCTTATCCCTTTTCCACAATTGTAATTGTCCTCAAGTTATTTTTTAACTGCATAAGTTAGAATGTGTACAATAAAAATTGGTGAATAAATGAATGAAATATTTATAAAATTATTTCTACAAACAAAATGTTTCTAGTCCTTTTCAAAAAATCCAGGTTGTAGTCTATATGTTAAACTGGCATGCTATTAATATTGTTTGGGTCTTTTTCATGTTACATAAATTGATTTAGAATGTAATTGGAAAACTGATATTTTTATATGTTGGAAATATTTAACTTTAGAGTGTTTTGCTTATGATAGTTAAAAGAGAAGCCAGACATTAACATCTGTCAATAATCTACCCAGAAAATAAAACTGAAATTTAAAGAAGGAACATGAAACTTCAAAACGACTGCAATGTGCTCAGTTAATATTTGAAAAATAATTAGATAAAATGGAAAATAGGATTTATGCAGAAAAAAGCATTTAACCCTGTGTTATGCTTTCCTATCTCATAAATATGGCACTGAATTGTTTAATTCATACTTATGATATATATTTTAGGTGTTAAATTAAAATCAGCAGAGCATACACATGTGGTTTATACAAAAATTTATGTTTTTATTGGAAATGGACTTGAATTTCTAATTTTGCAAATCTGCAGCAAAAAGATTACCAACTTCTCCACAGTTATGAATTGGTCAAACAGAGAAGATTAAAGTTTTACTTGGAAGTATGTGATAGTAGGTTGTACTGAAACACTGTACATTAGTTCCTGCCATGATAAGCCCACAATTTATGGAGAATTTGGTGTACTTTGTTCAAAAATGACCAATGGAATTTATTTCTTTTGAAAAAATATATCATTAAAAATAGAGAGAAATTAATATATATTTCCCAGATGCAATTCATACATGATGTCTCCATGTATATTTCTCTTTAATAAGAATTCAAATAAAAGGAGAAACCTTTTAACCTTTGCCTTCTTTTGTAACAAGTTGGTTATTGAATATTAACTAAGTCACCTTATTACAGTGTTTTACAGCTTTTCTCTATTACTTTTGTAGTGTTTCCTAAATTTTTGTCTGTATTAAGTTTTCACTATTGGAAATTGGGAAACATTATTCTAAAAAACTCAGAGATCCATTTGAATACAACCTTACATGTATTGATGGGCAGAGAGGTTCACTATACCTAAGCAATTTCATTATTTCCCTATGGTAAATTTTCAGTATATACATAATTCAAAATTCTTCTTTAAAGTAGAAAATAATTATTTTCAAAAGTGTTTTGTGAAATAGCATCTCTAGTAAAATAAATTTCAGAGTCTTTATTTTAAAATTATCAATGTGAAATTCCCTTTTATTTTGTCTTAAAAAATCTCTTGTATTCATATCTTCATTATGTTTATTAAGTATCAGTAAGGAAATGGCATAAACTATTGCTGGTAAAGAAGCAACTGCAGCATTGCAAAATAAATTCAAATATTTTCACTGAAATTCAGACACTAAACCATTCCATATCATAAGTATTCCTCTTAGTGACTAGTTATTCCTAATGTTGAGAAATTCTTCCATCCTACCTGCCTGTCAGCATAAAATTAAATTACAATTTTCTTTTTTGAGTACTGTTTTAAAGAACATAAATATACAAGAAAGACACTAAACCTGCATGACTAATTTTTAGATGAATTTAAAGCCAAAGGTTACAATATAAATATATGATGTGTGATTGTAGAGTAAACATGTGGCTTTGATTTTATTCAGATTCTGAAGAGGAAATGAAGGCATTAGAGGCAGATTTATTGACAAATATGCAAGCAGCAAAGGTAATTTTTTTTCTTTTCTTTAACTCAGGGTTGAAGAATATATAAGTTTTATTATATGGCATTGCTTTCTTATTGTAATAACTTATAAAGACAGAAAACTCCCTTGAGAGACACTTCTTCTTGTTTTTTTTTTTTTGAGAAACTTACTTAAGTTTTAAGAAGCTAAGACTGTTGACATGGCAGGAAAAGAAACTATGGTGAATATAAATCAGTATATTTAATTTCAATTAAGATGTCACATATAACTTATGTGGACTTTAAAATATATTTAAAGGGACTGTCCCCATCTTTATTAAATTGTGTGTGATGAAATGTATATTGGCTTCAAGTTAAATACCTGAATGAAATTTAAGTGAACTTTGCTTCTTTTTATTATATTTGGGAAAATAAAGTAGGCTTTCTCAATTAAAAATGACTGTTCTTGACAACCTGTGAAGGAAACATGCTAGAGTGGAAAGAGCAATAAACGGCAAACAGTAGTGCTGACATCAGATCCTGAAGTTGTTATTTATGAACTATTTGATCTTAAGCAATTGAGTTAGTTAACATGACTTAATTTTGCTCCTTTAGATTTAAACATAGTGAACAGGGATTATGATGTCCAAGAAATTTATAGTTTTATAATGTACTTAAACTTTACAAACAGTATTTTTTAAAAGAAGTATCATTCATACCTGCTGATTGTTTCATTGAACCTTGTAATCTTTATACCCTGAGCCCTATTCATCCTTTTTGGGATTGAGAGAGCAAGTTTTCTAGTTTCCAACCTTTACTTACAATAAATATCGTTAGAATATGTCTGAATACCTTGCTACCATACAATGTTGAGTGACTCACAATTATTCTATCAATGTGTATATAAGTGTGTAGTCAGAACACAAGTTTATAATCAAACGATATCTCGCAAGGAAAAAAATATTTAAGTGTGACAATCACTTGACAAAATCATAGGTATAGCACTATTGTACCAAAGATAGTACTCAGTGGATGTTATGATAGGGAATTAAGTGCTGATTCCTTTCTAAACTTAGGAGCAATATGTATTCTGAATCTAGTTCTGCCTTCTCATAGTTATCTTTCCTAATTGGAGGTACATTTTAGGAACAAGTATACAAGTACAACTATGTTATGTTTGGTGGTGGATGTAAAAAGTATCTATTTTTATGTGTGCTTGAGAGTATAAGCCATAATAATGCCTTATATTAACAGATACACTTTGTACTGTTTCTCAAAAACATCTTGAGAAAATTTAAGAGCATCTGTATTTCAAGGTTGCTCAGGTCCACGAAAATGGATTGTATTTTTAAAACTGCTATTAATTGGCAATTTCATCATAGTTTCACATTAATTAGAGGATAATTGTCACTTGATATTATTTTTATTGAGGCTACCCATGAAGTTTTTGTGGCCATTTATACCCTTTTCTGAATGTCTTTGAGGAAAAAGATTCATGTAAATCTTCTATGACTTTTGTTAAATTTCATTAATTACTTTGAAATTAGCTTTTCTACCACTGTTTCTTATTATTAATTGTTGACATGTAGAAAAGTTGTTGACTCTGTTAATTATGATTCAGGCAATTCTTATTAGAAAAGAAAGATGGTTACACAAAACATTTTAACTTGCAAATAAATGAACTGGTCAGTTGTGATACAACTTATGACCACTATTAATGTGTTAAATATTAAGTGGTCTCACCATATTGTAACTGGCCAATTTCATTAGTATTATTTTAATAACTGCCTCCTTAGAACTAAACTAAAAATGGTAGAAAACAATGACTTTTGAATTTTTAGTGTTCATATTTTTAGTGTTGAATTTTAGTGTTCCACATACCTAAACCAATTGTAATTTTTGTCCTTTTTTGGTCAGTGTGTGTGTGTGTGTGTGTGTGTGTGTGTGTGTGTGTGTGTTTATGTGTATGTAAGTGTATGAATAGCTTTATTGCATTCTGGTAAAAAGAGGATCTGTGGGTAGCTACTAAATTATTAATACTGCACTTATTAGGCAAGAGTAATAATTAGGCCCTAAAGTATAATGGTTTAACACAACTGAAATATATTTTATTTCTATAATACAAATTTAAATTGCATTATAATTTTTCTGTATTTCAGATCAGCAAAGCAAGTGTTCCCTCTTGGAAAATGACCCTGCTGAATGTTTGCAGTCTTATAAATAACATGAACAGCCAAACTGAGGAAGTGGGAGAGATTCATGAAGAAGAGCTTGTTACTGGAAGGAAGCTCCCAGTTGTTTTAGATGGCTTTAGTTTGGAAGCAATGCTGACAATACTCCAGCTTCAAAAAATCTGTCACAGCAGGGCCTTTCAACACTGGGAGGTAAAGCAAAAACAAAACATGATTATTATTGTAGTTATATTGTAGTTACTCTGATCAATTCTCATTTGTAGTGATTTTTGCATCATGATTAAATGATAATTGAAAGACTCACAAACATTAAAAAAAACATGTTGGGGTTCAACCTTCCTTAAAATCTTCAGAGTATCCTTTTCAAATATTTGCAAGTTAGTAAAATAGTTTTCCTTCAGTTTTAGAAATGAAGTGTATCATGAGGCAGATTTGACCCTTATGTTTTTTGTACCAAATGGATGGCATACTTAGGTAAATTTCATTCTTGCTGGTGGTACTGTAGGCATGTCTAAGAAAGTTAAGGAACTCGAAATGTTTTCCTAAAAGTAGAGTCATGTGTACTTATCTGTAAGCAAACTCATAGCACAAAGTTTTCCAAACAGAACAGCAACAAAATACGTTTCGATTTGTGTTTGAATTTTTTAGGCAAACACAGGTGCATATATTTATTTCTATAAAAATATAAAATATGAATATATATCATTCCAACTTTATTTATAATTTACAGGTTTGCAAGTATATGGAGATTTTTAATACATTAGCTAAAGTAGGGCCATAACAATAAGATAGTCTAATTCTACAATACAGAGTACAATGCACTGGGCGACTTGCTTATATGAAATAGTGCATTGATGGATGGCTTTCTGGCTTTGGCTTGAAAATGTTTTTGGATTTTTAAAAATTAAATTTATTGGTCATTGGTCATTATATATATATATATATATATATATATAAAGAACATTTAGCTTATGAAATTCATACATGAAATATTTTGATTCTTTTCCCCCTTTTTTTTTCCCTCTCTTTTCAACTCCTTTCCCTTCTTATTTACAAAAGCTTTGTTTCCATTTTTCTATTTTGGTTTTTTCCCTTTTCCCTCTTTTCCTTTCTAATTTTTAAAATAATTGAAGAATGAAATTTGATTTGTACCAGTTAATATCTAGAGATTGTTTTTTTTTGAATCAGAAAATTACCTTAAAACAACTAATGAGTCTTCCATGAGGTCATATAATGTAAACATGTAGCAGCACATTTATCAACAAACATAATAGTTTGGGATCAAAACATTCTAACCTTAGCATGCTGGTTATATGTAGCTATCAAAATTATATTTATCTATAATCCTATGTGGCTTCCAGTCAGTTGTTCTGCAACAGATGCTTTCTGTGGTTTTCCATTCAGGATACACAACTGAAATTCTTATGTCTAAAACATTATCTCTTAAGTATATGCAAAGCTTTTTTCAGTTCCCCAAATACCATCTCTAAATTGATTGTCTTTTCTCCTACTGAAGAAATAGGAAAGCACAACCTATATAAAGGAATATATTTGATGTAGACCTACCTTTAAAATAAAATTTTCCAAAGTTTAGTAATTTGGCAATTATTAGAAATAATGTATTGAAAAATATCTTATAAATACAATATTTCCTTTAGTGATATTTTTGCTCTAACAGATGCCTTAAAACTTTGAAAAGGCATGGTAGGATTCTCCGAATGAGTAAAGGATGAGAAAAAAAAACTTGAAAAAGGAAAACAAAAAATATGAAAATTTTCCCATTGGGGACAACTTTGTTTTAGATTAACTTCCAATTGCCTCTCGGCCTTTTGTCAAAGATCAAGTGCAGATTAACTTCCAAGGGAAATTTGCTGAGTTTGACCATGTCTTGAAGACCTGGGGGCTCCTTGCTGCTAATCTAACAAAATTGTGACTGCACCAGGGATGTCCTGTGGAATGGAGGAAATGCACACAGAATGTTTAGTGTTTATTCTAAGGGGTAAATGAAAAGATGCTTTCCAGATGAAAAATCAAATATACTAGTTTTAATTTTACATGTTGTACTGTTCAGCCTTTAATTTTAATTCCAGCTAAATGGTTTACTCTTTAAAATATTGTTTAGGTCAATAAAATTTGAAAATACAAATCTTAATTTAGGAAAATGTCAATTATATGCTATTTATCCAGAAAAAAAACCCTCCCAATAGCTATTATGCGCATACATCAAGTGCACACAGGACTGGATTTTTGCTATTTTAAATGATATTGAGTGGTTTAAAAATAAAATGATAATATCACTCTAAGCATAGTACAAGTAATTACAGACTATGCACAAGGAAAGTTAAAGATTAAGAACCTAGGTTGTCTGACAGTAGCTGGTTTGCCTTCTCTGAAACTGAATAGCTGTGGGTTGAAATGAAATACTTGGTGACAGATGTTGTACATCAGCATTATAATTTAAGTGTCAGTATTAGTTATAGTGACCTCAAAGTTTAGAAGATAATCATAACTTAAAGAGCTCTTATCCACTTAAACAGAGCATTCACATATGTGGATATCCACAGCTAAACTAGGTAAAGTCAGGCCTTCCTCTCCATGGTTAAGAAATGGGTGTTTGGGGCTTTCAAGTCCAATTTGTAATTGACTTAATTGAATATAAAATCTTGTTAACTGTTCAGTCAAATTTTGTTTGTCAGATACAAATTATATTTGTTGTGATATATTTCATTTCATTTTGGGCTTTCTATTACAAATCAAGCATAAATATACTCAGAGTTCTTTTTTTAAGTTTATTGGTACAGTTTGGATATACATAATAATCATATTCATTGTACGGAATTTGTAGCTGTATGTGATATATCTTGATTCCTCTTTTTTTTACATATTCCATCCTTACAGATATTTTTTGATGTATTCCTTCAATTGAAGAGATTAGTATTAGGTTTCAAAATTTTCTAAAATTTTTTAAAAGTCCAACCCTGTTGATCTAGGAAGGGCACTGAGGCAGGAGGATCATGTTTGATTCTATCTCAGTCATTTGATACCTATCTGTCTTTTCACATACAATTCCTTTCCTTTTAATGTGCTTTTCTCTCTAACAAATAAAGTATACAAATATCTAACATGCTAAATCTTATATATGGAATCTTCACTCGTGTTCAATCTATCTTACAGATAATTCAGGAAAATATTCTTGAGAATGGAAATGACAAAAATGAGAAGGAAGAAGTCATAAAGAGAAAAATCCCCTACATTTTGAAAAGGCAGCTGTATGAAAATAAATCCAGAAGACCTTATATACTCAAGAGAAGTTCTTACTATTACTAAGAAGATAAATATTTTATTTACATGTAGCTGTGATTTATCATTTTTAAATATCTAATTATATTTGTGTGAAAATGTGACAATATGTTTATTTTACTCCTTCTCCAACTGTAGTTTACTGGATTTATTCTGCATTATTATACAGTGGTCTAAATGTTTTCAAATAAATCTACATCTTGAGCATGATTGGTTGTATATAATTGGAATAGATATTAACCATGCTACACATAAACTATTTTGCGATTTTACAAAACAAATTATGAGTTATTTAAACTTTCAAAATATATGATCTTTTATATGAAATTGTAAGAGGTTATAACAACATATGGCAACAAAGTTTAACCTACATATCATTAGCAAAACAAAGATAATGACAAGTCTTACTATTTTATAGTCTTACCATATTGAAAGAAATATGTACTCCTTTCCAACACTTGGATATCTTAGATGTAAGGAAAGTTACTGCCATATAGTAGAACCACTTGAAGAAGTGATTAATGAGCTATTGTTAATTATGTTATTTTAGCAAATGAGCTTCAAGTGAATGTTTTGTCTGTTAAATGAATTTCATAGCTAATAAAAAAGCAATCAGCCATCAGAACCATATGCTTCTCTGCATCTTTATTTCCATTAGAAGCATTAGTTTATATATAATACTTCTAAAAAACCAAAGTGAACAGTTGTTATAAGTCGCAAGAAATTTTGATCCTGGATATAATAGATTTATTTTTAGAATCACTGAAGTATCTGTGCGATTGATTCTTTTCCTGATTGGGAGGGTATATTTGAAGCGAAGCTATACTTAAATAACCCCTTTTAAATTTTCTTTATCATACTTAGAGTCTCACAGCCCTACAGCCTTTACATCCCACCCTTGGTAGTGATGTTTTTGATTCTCTCTCTTGTGGAGTGGGGCTCTGTCTGGGATGATCTCACCTCACAAGACTGCACCCTCCTCTTTTGTCATCTCCAAGAATGAAACCAGGACAAGTTGTTAAAGAAGTTTGAACTCCACATCCTTATCGAATGTTTAATCCTACTTCCCGTAAGATTTAAAAGGTCACAGATCTCTGAGTTTTACTCTGTAGCCCCATCACACCCTCTTGTGATTACTCATCAGCCTTGACCAGTTTGTTACTAGCAAATTTAGCCAATTTATTCAGCCCCTCTGTTTCTGGTTTATAAAATGTGGATAACAATGAGATTCGATGGAAGATAAAAACGGGCTGATAAACAAGTATATAAACCTTACCTTGGACCTGAGACACAATACAAACACACTGCATTGAACAGTTACTAATATAGTAGTCTCTTTTATGATGAAATAGCTCCCGGATGGTACGCTTTCCTCTTCATTAGGTGACACAAGCTCCACCATTCTAGGTCATATATAATTATCAGTATGCTGTATAATTCAATACTCATCATTTCTAGCCCCTTAAACACTTGCATTACTCTGAACTCACAGTCACTGTTTCGTTAGTTACTTTTAAAAATTAATTTCCTTTGTCTTCCACAACATAGGATCTGGAAACAATGTACATGTTCTAATCACTTCAGTAGCAATTTTCTTTTCCTTTAAAAAAAAAAAAAACTACAGATTATTTGAAACAATGAGCATAAGATAATCTACTTTTTACCCCAATTTTTTTAAAAAAAAATAATCTATCTGTCTTGAAAAACTGTTTTCCCTGATTACTTTTTTCTTGAATTTGAGGACATTCGTACACAAAATCTATCCAGCAATGTTCCTTCTCAGTTCCTGAATATCTTCACTTCAATAATGAATACTGATTCATTTCATCTTGTTAACTATCATCATACTATAAACTTATCACTATCAATAAAATCAATAAAGTTAATCCTTACAAAATCTTTCTTAAGTACTCTATTCTTGAACATCTTTTTTGCTTTCCATTTTACATAATCTGTTTCACTTTACCATTCAGATCCAATCTAATTCACTAACACTCTCCGCCTTCAGTCACCCTGTATTACCTTTTAATTTGGCACATATTCTGAAGCTCAAAAGTAAAATCATTCTCTTGTTACCTTCAGATTCCTGTCATCTCATAGATACAACCTAATACATGCCTGAATAACCCCAAATTTCCTGATTCTGATCTTACCTTAGAAGTTTAATATATCTGAAAAAAAGCACCTAACCTTACTGAGATCACATTTAAAATTTTTGCACACAGCTCTTTTGCACACAGTTTCTTTTAGTGCTGGGGTAAAGGGACTTTTGCACTGAACTATGTAACTAAACCTTATTCTTTGCTTATTCATTTACTTATTTATTATCTACCGTGTTTATTTCGTGAAAGTTCTTGCTGTCTCTAAGTCTGGGCTCATACTTTTGATTCTGCTGCCTCTGCCTTCCTACTGGATTGATCATGGATTTTAAGTGTACCTTTAGCAATTTCAAAAGTTCCTTTAACATTTGCCTAATAAATTCTGTATCTTATTTGCACTGATATTTGTTTCATATCTTTCTTTCCTTCTTGAACTGTAACACCATTCTCTTCATTTTATCTAAAAAAATTTTAAATATAAGAATAAAGTCATGTTATCCCTCCCTTTCACCAAATATAACAACCAACCTACATCACTCCCCAAAATTTTCTTCCCCTTACATTTGCAAAAAGACTGCCCCTTCTCTTTTCAGTGTCTGCTTCACATACTTGTCTGAGTAGAAGGTCCTCAGTCCTGTTCAAGATAAGAATTTAATAGTCATTCTTAACTTTTCTCTACAATGTTTCTTTGCTCTCAATGTACAACTCTAATATACTTGATTCTTCCCGTTTACTGTTACTGCTTGTGGTCACTATCCACTCTCACAAGCTTCTAGCCTGTCCCCCTGGTATCATTTTTATCTATTTGCATCCTCATAATATAGTACTTTTAAAAATCACAACCTATATAGCCTTCTCTAATTCTCATGATGAACTTCTGGTTTATGCTTCAATGTAGAAGAAACTTGGGAGTGACCACCCCATCCCAAAGACAATAAAAAGCTGAACAAACTAGATCTCAATGACACTGTTTAAATCCAGAAAGGAAGGAAGGTCATGTGTCAAATTGCTACCCCTGAAAATGGAGAGACTGACAGGATTAAAACAACAACAGCAACAACAACAACAACAAAAAACAAACAAACAAACAAACAAAAAACAGGGCATCTCACCTTGATAGAGCAGAAACTCGGGAGGGATGACCTTTTGGAAACAAATGCCATGATAGAAAACCTGAACTGCAATTAAAAACTTGCTGCAAATTCAATATGGACAAATATGAGTGGTAAAGCCTCTGCGGTACCCAGGATACAAAAGGCTCCGGGTTTTCCTAATTTTAACTGCTGGAGCTCAACCAACTTTAAAAAGTTAACCCTGAAGAAAAATAGTCTTGAACTTCTGGAAGAGGCAGAAAAAGGAAGCATTTTGATATATGCCAGGGTATTGCTAGTTCTACCAAAGCCTGTCCTCAAGAGAATTATTTAACCAGAATATCACTTGTTGGGATTTTATCATAGCCTAGTTGATTTGGGAGGAAGGAAATACCTCATTAAAGTTCTCAGGATCCATTCTTTTCCACCAAAGGAGATTATGAGGTTATGAATAAACAGGTTTTAATTTAATAACCTAGAACTGCAGGCTCACTGAAAAGCTGAGATTTAATTGTCAGACTACTGTCTTCTCCACACACATATCCCTCCCAAGTCAGCTTCTTATGGTCCTGTGCTCACTGTATCATGTTGGGCTATTGAGGAAAAAAAATTAAGAACTCACAAGGTCAAACCAAACAAGACAAAAACAACAACAATGGAAAAATATAGTTCAAAGAGCCTGAGCAAGTATAAGAACTTGACTTAGCTATGGCATTGGCATTGAATTAAGGAACAGAGTTCGGAAGTTTAAAGTATCTGTGATTAACATGCTCAGGGATTTAATGAATGAAGTGAGAAGTGTGCTAGAACATAAGCATAATGTAAGCATCTTATTTTCAAACTATGGGCAATCGAGGAAAAAAAATCATAATAGAAGTCATAATGACAATGTGATAGTATTACCTAGTGTGAGTAACATGTAAGTTATGTGCTCATACACACAAGGCTTCCTCAGCATTTGACATATCAGCTTATGTAAACCATCACTTTGACAGGGTAATAAAAAAGTAATAGGATCAGACCACATCAGTACATAGGGAAAACATTTGATAAAATACATCAATCTTTCATGATTTAAAAAATGTTCTCAACATACTAATAAAACATGAAATAATCTTGAGCTTGATAAAGAATGTTTGCAAAAATTACCACTAGTTTTGCCCTTAATGGAGTGAAATTTGAAGCTTTCCCACAAAGATAAGAAAAAAGTAGGAACGTTTCTCTCTCAGTGTTTTGCAAGGAATAAAACAAGCAATAAGACTAAAAGGGAACAACAGACATTTGATTGAGAGGAAAGAAATGAAATTGTCTTTGTTTACTGACATGATCATATAAACAGAAAATCCAAAAGAACTGATGTCAATGATAACACAAAAAAAAACACCTGAAATTCAAAATTTATAACAAGTTGGCAAGACATAAGTTTAATATACAACAGTCCATCATTTTTAATATACCAACAATGAACAAGTATTGTTGGAAATTAAAAACCAAAACCGCCTCACACTAGTGCTTATAGAAATAAAACACTTGTAAACCTAACAAAGCTGTGAACAAGACCTATGTGAAGAAAACTACAAAACTTTGGGAATAGAAATTAATGAACCAAATAAGTGAGATGTTTTATGTTTATGGATAAGGACACTGTCATACTTTTCTCTCATTGCTGAGACAATACCAGACATCCAAGGTTAAAGGAAGAAAGGATTATTTAATTCCAGTTTGTCAAGGTTTCAGTCCATAATCAGCTGGCTACAAGACACAGAGGCATGGCAGAGGCGCAACCTTTCACGCTGGTGAAATACACCACCAAAGGCCACAAGAGAGGAGAGACAACATGCCTCTTTCTGTCCTTTATATTGTGTACTATGTACCTGCCCTGAGGTGTATATAGAACTCACACCCTTAATCCCAGCACTAGACCTTGAGTCAGTGGCAAACTCTAGATTGAGCAGCCTCCTAAAGCCCAGACCCCACTACTGCATGAGGTTTTGAGGGGCCTCTAGACACAGACCTATAACAAAGATTCGCTATTATTAGCTATCAATTCTTTCAAACCTGATCTGTAGATTTGCTGCAATACTAACGAAACTTCCTGAAAGGTTTTTTTCAAATATAGATAAATTGATTTTAAAGTTTAAGGGCGAAAGACTACCTAGACTAAGTATAGAAGAATTTTAGAGCAATAAGATTACTTTATATGAAAATATAATAGTGGACATATTTGTTCAAAGCCATAGAATACACAAGAGAAAACTTCCTGTCAATAATGACTATGGATAATGTGTCACTTTATATTCATTATTGTACTCAGTATGCCATTCTGGTGTGCTATCTTGATTAAGGAGACTATGTATGTTTGGGAGCCAAAAGTATGTATAAAGGCTCTGACTTTTAATTTTTCTGTGAACCTAAAACTGCTGCAAAAAGGGGTC